GAACACGGAACACATGTGGGAACACAGAACACATGTGAGAACACAGAACACATGTGGGAACACAGAACACATGTGGGAACACATGTGGGAACACGGAACACATGTGGGAACACAGAACACATGTGAGAATACAGAACACATGTGAGAACACAGAACACATGTGAGAATACAGAACACATGTGGGAACACAGAACACATGTGAGAACACATGTAAGAACACAGAACAAATGTGAGAACACAGAACAAATGTGAGACCACATGTGTGAACACGGAACACATGTACTCTCATGGGAAAAGAAGAACACATACACATGTAAGAACACGGAACACATGTAAGAACACATGTGAGAACACATGTGTGAACACAGAACAAATGTAAGAACACAGAACACATGCGAGAACACAGAACACATGTGGGAACACGGAACACATGTGAGAACACAGAACACATGTGGGAACACAGAACATATGTGGCAACACATGTGGGAACACGGAACACATGTGGCAACACGGAACACATGTAAGAACACAGAACACATGTGAGAATACAGAACACATGTGGGAATACAGAACACATGTGGGAACACAGAACACATGTGAGAATACAGAACACATGTGGGAATACAGAACACATGTGAGAATACAGAACACATGTGGGAACACAGAACACATGTGAGAATACAGAACACNGTGATGGTAACGATAATGTGACGGTGATGGTAACGATAACGTGACGGTGACGGTAACGATAACGTGATGGTAACGATAACGTGACGGTGACGGTAACGATAACGTGATGGTAACGATAACGTGACGGTGACGGTTACGATAACGTGACGTGACGGTGACGGTAACGTGACGTGACGGTAACGTGACGGTGACATAACAGATATCTCATCACACAGTATAAGCAACTCTATAGAGAGATGCGACAAAGCAGCGACATTACAGTCATTTGATGTCGTCAATTTGTAAGGACACACAAAATATTCATACACATCCGTACATTCTCAAAGACCGACATCTTCCTTCTTAAGGACCGTATTGACATCATTGTATATGCTTGGCTGGATCCTACGGTTCACTGAGCTTGGCTGGTCCCTACGGTTCACTGAGCTTGGCTGGTTCCTACGCTTCACTGAGCTTGGCTGGTTCCTACAGTTCACTGAGCTTGGCTGATTCCTACAGTTCACTGAGCTTGGCTGGTTCCTACGGTTCACTGAGCTTGGTTGTTCACTGAGCTTGGCTGGTTCCTACGGTTCACTGAGCTTGGCTGGTTCCTACAGTTCACTGAGCTTGTCTGGTTCCTACAGTTCACTGAGCTTGTCTGGTTCCTACAGTTCACTGAGCTTGTCTGGTTCCTACAGTTCACTGAGCTTGGCTGGTTCCTACGGTTCACTGAGCTTGGCTGGTTCCTACGGTTCACTGAGCTTAGCTGGATCCTACGGTTCACTGAGCTTGGCTGGATCCTACGGTTCACTGAGCTTAGCTGGATCCTACGGTTCACTGAGCTTGGCTGGTTAGTGGTTCCTACGGTTCACTGAGCTTGGCTGGATCCTACGGTTCACTGAGCTTGGCTGGTTAGTGGTTCCTACGGTTCACTGAGCTTGTCTGGTTCCTACGGTTCACTGAGCTTGGCTGGTCCCTACGGTTCACTGAGCTTGGCTGGTTCCTACGGTTCACTGAGCTTGGCTGGTTCCTACGGTTCACTGAGCTTGGTCGGTTCACTAATGAGGTCCCCCTTAACCCCCCTGCTAATGAGATAACATAGAGTTCATAAAACATTATCAGTCTCAAATAGAAGTATAACATAGAATAAATAATACGTTATCAGTCTCAAGTAGAAGTATAACATAGAATAAATAATACGTTATCAGTCTCAAGTAGAAGTATAACATAGAATAAATAATACGTTATCAGTCTCAAGTAGAAGTATAACATAGAATAAATAATACGTTATCAGTCTCAAGTAGAAGTATAACATAGAATAAATAATACGTTATCAGTCTCAAGTAGAAGTATAACATAGAATAAATAATACGTTATCAGTCTCAAGTAGAAGTATAACATAGAATAAATAATACGTTATCAGTCTCAAGTAGAAGTATAACATAGAATAAATAATACGTTATCAGTCTCAAGTAGAAGTATAACATAGAATAAATAATACGTTATCAGTCTCAAGTAGAAGTATAACATAGAATAAATAATACGTTATCAGTCTCAAGTAGAAGTATAACATAGAATAAATAATACGTTATCAGTCTCAAGTAGAAGTATAACATAGAATAAATAATACGTTATCAGTCTCAAGTAGAAGTATAACATAGAATAAATAATACGTTATCAGTCTCAAGTAGAAGTATAACATAGAATAAATAATACGTTATCAGTCTCAAGTAGAAGTATAACATAGAATAAATAATACGTTATCAGTCTCAAGTAGAAGTATAACATAGAATAAATAATACGTTATCAGTCTCAAGTAGAAGTATAACATAGAATAAATAATACGTTATCAGTCTCAAGTAGAAGTATAACATAGAATAAATAATACGTTATCAGTGTCAAGTAGAAGTATAACATAGAATAAATAATACGTTATCAGTCTCAAATAGAAGTATAACATAGAATAAATAATACGTTATCAGTGTCAAGTAGAAGTATGCTGGCTCACTTGTAGGAAATGTTGGACGTGATCAGGTCCCAGCAATACACGTGGCCGTCCTCTGAGCCGGAGAAGACGTGCGTGTCGCGGTCGTTGAAACAGCATTCAATCTGCGGCGTGATTTTGTTTTATAGAATCTAAACCTCATCTCGAATCTATACCTTTTATAGAATCTATGCCTCAACTCGATTCTATGCCTCATCAGTAGAATCTATGTCTTTTTATAGAATCTATGCCTCGTCTCGAAAATATGCCTATTTATATAATCTATGCCTTTTTATGGAATCTATGCCTCATCTATATAATCTATGTCTTTTTATAGAATCTATGCCTTTTTATAGAGTCTATGTCTCATCTTGAATCTATGCCTTTTATATAATCTATGCTTTTTATATAATCTATGCCTTTTTATGGAATCTATGCCTTTTTATAGTCTATATCTCATCTTGAATCTATGCCTTTTATATAATCTATGCTTTTTATATAATCTATGCCTTTTTATGGAATCTATGCCTTTTTATAGTCTATATCTCATCTTGAATCTATGCCTTTTATATAATCTATGCTTTTTATATAATCTATGCCTTTTTATGGAATCTATGCCTTTTTATAGTCTATATCTCATCTTGAATCTATGCCTTTTATATAATCTATGCTTTTTATATAATCTATGCCTTTTTATGGAATCTATGCCTTTTTATAGAGTCTATGTCTCATCTTGAATCTATGCCTTTTATATAATCTATGCCTTTTATATAATCTATGCATTTTTATAGAATCTATGCCTCATCTTGAATCTAAGCCTTTTATATAATCTATGCCTCATCTATATAATCTATGTCTTTTTATATAATCTATGCCTTTTTATGGAATCTATGCCTCATCTATATAATCTATGTCTTTTTATAGAATCTATGCCTTTTTATAGAGTCTATGTCTCATCTTGAATCTATGCCTTTTATATAATCTATGCCTTTTATATAATCTATGCCTTTTATATAATCTATGCATTTTTATAGAATCTATGCCTCATCTTGAATCTAAGCCTTTTATATAATCTATGCCTCATCTATATAATCTATGTCTTTTTATAGAATCTATGCCGTTTTATGGAATCTATGCCTCATCTATATAATCTATGCCTTTTTATAGAATCTATGCTTCGCCTCATCTCGGTCGAGGTGATTCGGTCCACATACGAAGCATTATATTATTTTATAATTGAGTATAAGACTTGTGGTAGGCAATTAATTTTTTTATAATTTGAGAATAAGCAATGTACTTTATTTTTGGTGCCCGAATATTTTTTTTATTGAGTTTAAGACTTGTGGTGGTCGCAGGACTTGCCAGTTTCATCTCGGTCGCAGTAATGCATGTAGGACAAAACAATACCTACTAGGGTATCTACTTTATAATCTACATTATAATAAAAATATCTACTAATGTGATCTACCTCGACATAAGAAGATCTACCTCATAATCAGACCTGCTTTCAACATCTACCGCATAATTTACCTCATAATCTACCGCATAATCTACCTCATCATCTACCTCATAATCTACCTCATAATCTACCTCATCATCTACCTCATTATAATGAACATTAACATAACTGGCAACATGTCACCACCTCTGTCAACATGAACATAATGAACTTTAACATAACTGGCAACATGTCACCACCTCTGCCGACATGAACATAATGAACTTTAACATAACTGGCAACATGTCACTCCCTCTGTCAACATGAACATAATGAACATTAACATAACTGGCAACATTAACATAACTGTTAATCCGTAATAACTGAACATTAACATAACTGTGAACAACTTTCATAAGTTTTTTCTAGCTCGAACTTTGCAGTCTGAAGCTAATAACTTAACCGAATAGAGGCTTCCGGAGCTTAGAAAATGAAGATACAGATATAATTTATGAAAAAGGGTTCCCATTTAACGAACTTGCGAGTCGTTAAACATAAAAAGATGTATAATATGGGCTAGAGAAATGAATGTTACTGTGTATGTAATTGATGTCAATTCACGTGGACTTTTGGGGCGTGGTAACTTGGATTTTCGTGAGCAGGGCTTTATTATTATTGCCTTTATATTTTTATATATTTATATTTATATATATTATATTATATATATTATATATATATATTATATATATATTTTTATATTTATTGGCTGCCATGCGTTACAGAATCGTTTCTTGCACTTCAAAAAAATATTTCTGACATGCTCAGCGTATCTTTGGTTTTCACACGCAAGTGAAGGATTGATCCGAGAATATTTTGGCAAGAATTTATATCCGAGTCTAAAAAAGAGGCCTGAGACTCTTGTTACCACTCACGTTCTACAGAGTGACCACTCATGCCCCTCTCAGCGCAGCGACCACTCATACCTAGCGGAGTGTCCACTGACGTCTCCTACTCATTCCCCTAACTCACGTCCTCCACTCACGCCTCATTCAGCGACCACTCATACCCCCACGGAACGACCACTCACACCCCACACTCATTCCCCCACTCACGCCCCACAGAGTGCCCACTCATGCCCCACGCAGCGCAGCGACCACTCATATACCTAACGGAGTGACCACTCACGCCACCCACTCATTCCCTCCTCACTCACGCCCCTCACGCCCCTCACGCCCCTCACTCTGTCTCTTATACACATCTAGATGTGTATAAGAGACAGGTCTATATCTATCTCGTTTATGCCTATCTCGCCTATGCCTATCTCGCCTATGCCTATATTTTGCCTATGCCTATCTNTCTAGATGTGTATAAGAGACAGCCCCTCACTCACGCCCCAAGCAGTTGGCAGTGAGGCGGCCGTTCCTGAGGTCGTAGACGCGCGTGTTGCAGTCCAGCGACGCGGAGAGAAGCTCGTGGCCGGCGACGCTCACGGACATCACGCTGTCCTTCGCCTCGTCCAGCACCTGGTTGATGTGTGGCAGAATATCGCTTATTTTCGTGATTAGTTAACAGTCGTTAATGTTATTCGTACGTATAAGGTTAGAAAATCGCTCACTTTCGAAAAAATATCGCTTATATTCCAGTGATAAGTTAACCCTTCTTAATGTTATTCGTACGTATAAGGTTAGAAATGAGAGTTACCGATAGTTGACTACATATTTGTTATCCCTTCGCCTCGTCCAGCACCTGGTGAATGCATGGCAAAATATCGCTTATTTTCGTGATGAGTTAACACTCGTTAACGCTATTCGTACGTATAAGGTTAGAAATGAGAGTTACCGTTAGTTGACAACTTGTTATCCCTTCGCCTCGTCGTGCACGTGGTGAATGTGTGGCAGAATATCGCTTATATTCCAGTGATAAGTTAACCCTCCTTAATGTTATTCATACGTACAGGGTTAGAACTGAGAGTTACCGTTAGTACACTACTTGTTATCACTTCGTATACGGATACATCGGCAGAGAGAATGCATTGCAAAATATCACTCATTTTCCAGTGATACTTTAACATTCGTCAATGTTATTCGTACGTATAAGGTTAGAAATGAGAGTTACCGTTCGTAGACAAAGAGTGATCTAACTACTTACGTATGTAGGTTAACTACTACTAAGGTAAGGTAAGGTTACTACTACCAAGTAGTAGTAACCTTACCTAGAAGTCATCTGATGATTCGTACATTTTGTTCGTAACGAGAGTTAGCGGCAGGCAGAGAGACGCTCATTGCATATGAGTACACAGAAATATCGTTGAGTTCCACTATTCAAATTCCTAATTTATCACGTACTAATTTATTAAGGATGCAAATAATGCAAGACCAGGAGTTTCGCTGAAAAAGGAATGGTTTCAAACCTAATCAACGGATTATTATTTCCCAACTGATCAACGAAGGACATCACCTGTATAGGATCGATCCCTCCTACGCGCCCTGAGGTCCCAGCACCTGTATAGGATCCCTCCTACTCGCCCTGAGGTCCCAGCACCTGTATAGGATCCCTCCTGCGCGCCCTGAGGTCCCAGCACCTGTATAGGATCTGTCTCTTATACACATCTAGATGTGTATAAGAGACACGACTTGTCCAGCCCCCCCGACACGACCAGCCTGCCCATGTCAGCCTCATGTCACACACCATCACCGACTTGTCCAGCCCCCCCGACGCGACCAGCCTGCCCATGTCAGCCTCATGTCACACACCATCACCGACTTGTCCAGCCCCCCCGACACGACCAGCCTGCCCATGTCAGTCTCATGTCCCACACCATCACCGACTTGTCCAGCCCCCCCGACACGACCAGCCTTCAATCTCACCACATATAGCGTACGATATCCATGCTAATTTTGACGCAACATCGCTTATATCGAGATCAATTTCTCTACCACATCATTGTCGTAATAAAGAACTATATATAGTGCGTGACGTCATGTAGCAAGTTGTAATGTGGTCCGGCTCCGACTATAGTGTTGTCAGTCTCTATGCAATAGCCAGTACGAATGGGCCTGACCCCTGCTGTTGTTTGATGTAAGTGCAACGTTCCTTACCTTTACGAATCTAACTTGTTAAGTGTTATACATATCATCTGTTACTGTTATGTTATATTGTTCCGTGTTGCGTTTATAAGTAGTTTACATTAGTTGTTATGTTTCCAGGTAACTGGGCATTTGTTCAGTAAAGCTTGGATTGCCCAAGTTTATTCGATCCTTGATCCCACAACAATTTACTGAACAATATCCCAATGGAAAAATTACTGAAGCCATCGAGACTCGACCTGGATCCTAATTCACCAACGGCATCCAAGGAATGGAAACATTGGAAACGAACGTTCCAGAACTTCATTGCCGAATGTGGAGAAAACGCCCCTGACAAATTGCGAACTTTGATTAACTATGTGTCACACACTGTCTTCGATTTAATTGAAGATTGCCCTACATACGATGACGCCATACGAATCTTGGAAGCGTCTTTTGTTAAAACTCCTAACGAAATATTTGCGAGGCATCTCCTTGCAAGTCGTCAACAGCAATCATCTGAATCTTTGGATGAATTCCTCAGAGAGCTGAAAAGACTTTCTAAAGACTGCAACTTTAAATCTGTAACTGCAGAACAGTATCGCAGAGAAATGATTAGAGATTCATTTATCAAAGGCATTATCTCGCCTAGCATTCGACAGCGCCTTCTCGAGAACAAAACACTTGAGTTACAAGCAGCATATGATCAGGCTTATGCCTTGGAATTAGCTCATCAGAATGCCGAATCCTTTACGCGTCCCACCACGAATACTGTAGCAGTAATTCCTAGTTCGGACGGATTGCTCGATAAAGAGGATCAAAATCAAGCTTCGTCGGTGGCTGCCTTGCCTANCCACATCACTAATCTCACCACCACATCACTAATCACACCCCCACATTACTAATCTCACCCCCACATCACTAATCTCACCCCCCATCACTCACGAGTTATCAGCAGAGCCCCTGGCGTCGAGGACCTCGTAGCCGTGGCCGGCGAAGGTGCAGAGCAGGGCGCCGGTGTGAGGGTTCCACAGCTTCACGGACTTGTCGGACCCGCACGTCAGGCAGTAGCCGCCGTCCACTGCACCAGTTAATATTACTAGTATCTTGATTATTAATAAGCCTATATACGTATTAATATTATCTTGATTATTACTGCGTGGGTTCCACAGCTTCACGGACTTGTCTGACCCGCACGTCAGGCAGTAGCCGCCGTCCACTGCACCAGTTAATATTACTAGTATCTTGATTATTAATATGCGTATATACACGTATTAATATTATCTTGATTATTATACGCTCGTATATACGTATTACTATTATCTTGATTATTACATGTGTGTATACACGTATTAATATTATCTTGATTATTATACGCGTCTATACACGTATTACTATTATCTTGCTTATTACACGCGTGTATATATAAATTGCTATTATTTTTATTAGTACACACTTGTACATTACTATACTGGTGGTTATTCAGTGCATGCGCAAATGAATTAATTTTATCTTGGTTATTCGGTGGACTTATTCCAACTAAGTTCGGATATCATTCGTGTCATTAGGTCTATTTTAGTGGTTTTAGCCTCCCAAATTTAGTTGCACTAGCATGTTAGCGCACTAGTTGTATGCTACAAGGCTTACGTAGAGGCCTTAAATACGTACAGGCCTATTTCTCGTTTGATTGATAGGCTTAGCAGTTAAAGTCGTCAGGGTTCAACTGCCAGAGTTTCGAACTTACAACTATATTATCTAAGTGCTTAGAGGACGACACTTTTGCTGATGACTATTCACCTGATGATTAACTAATTAATAATTGAATAGCAATAAATAATATATTTATTTATATTACGTCCGATGCATGGCCTGGTAGGGTGGACCACATGGCAGGGTAGAATCGGCGACAGGCCTTTGGCCTACACTGTTAGAAAAAACGCGGTCCCACTGGCGTTCTAGTGGCCGGTCGCCCCGTGAAAATAAACTGTTTCACCGTTTTTATCAGATGTTTTACGGATTTCTAGTGCTAAATTAGAATAAAAACGGCGAAACGGTGTTTTTTCACGTGCCAACCGACCACTGAAACGCCGGTATAATACCGTTAACGGTAATTTTTTTAACAGTGTAATAAACGCTGAAACCGCTGTTATTTATTATATTATTAATTATTATCTCACCGTTGAACCTCACGGCCCGCACAGCGCCCTGCTTGCACTCCAGCACGCGCTCCAGCTTCGATGGCAGCGTCGTAGTGTCGGGGTGAGACTCGCCCATTGTGTTGCTCTTTTTTCAATGAATTAATTATTGAAAATATAAATTAGGAACGTGAAATATAAGGATTTGATATTTACAAGATTTTCTTTCGTTGATAATCGATGAGGAATACGGTACAACACAAGCGAAAATTCGAATACTAGAAGTAGAAAATGTGTGAAAAGTGGTCGTTATTTTATTCAGTTTGGAATAAATTTTTCATAATTTAGTCGAGAATTCCGTGTTCCAAGGAGAAGTGAAAATTATACCAATAACACCTGGTGACACTGAAAATAATGATGAAAAGAAGAATTTCAGATCCATAAAATCAGCATAAATAATATCGCAGTTGTAGTTTCCAACGAATCGTATCAGGCATTTCTCAATGCACTTGAGGTCGAGAAATAATCAGTGGGTGATAAATTTCCTAATCTCTTCATGACTTACGTGTAAAGAAATAAATTGCGTTTGTCCGATAGTTGTTAACTAAAGCGAACAATAAACCCCCGTCTCTTCGCAATTTTCTCAAAATGAACCCAACTTTTTTCAAAATGAACCAAATTTTTTTCAAACTGAACACAATTTTTTCAAAATGAACCCAAACTTTTTTCACTTTCGACCTTATCAGAAACGCTTGCTGATGATAAAGGCAGAGGGTACCGCAGGGCTGCCAACATCCCCGTAACTCTGGCACACCAGGCCTCGAAGAGATGGCAACAAAATATGTTGTAATCCATTAACAAATTCCTGCAAGATCATTTAGCAAAAATGACCTCGAATTTTAAATCACGGCCACATCCGTGACATCTAATTTAATTTAAATTGTAAACAAAATATTGTATTACTTATAATTAATTCACAAAGTCTTCATGGGCCGCCAGACCTCCCGAGACCTGGATAAGCAGAGTCCCTTTCGGTTCTTAAAAAAGCGAAGGCGAAGGATTTTACAATAAATAAAAACTTCAAAACTTTGCTAATTCATAACGCCAAGCCATCATTGTCTCCAACATCCATAAGGTACATGACAGAGTTCTTACACACTGTACAAGATTCACGGGTGTAATATATTTCAAATATCCGTTTCAATTATTTGTTATTGCTTTGTGTGAGTAATATATTAAATAGGTATGCATTAATTAATTGTTATTGCTTTGGGTGGTAATAGAAACTGGTCATGGAGAAGGTATAATGAAACATGGAGATACTGTGCCCTCCCCTGCAGCGATATATTTCACAGCAACAAAAGATGGTCGGGTCACTGGGTGCTAACATAATAATGAATATTAACAAGCCGTATTAATATTAACATAAGAACGGAAGGTACGAGGTCGATCAACGTCAATATGTACTAAAGTTAAGACGGGAGATAGAACATAAACACTTCATCCTTCACTTGATACGATAGACGTTAAGACTGACTTAGTCTGCGCTGGGCTCGCGATAGAAAATAATGAAGCAAAAATCGAATTATCAGAACTGGTAAACAAATGAACAAAGTACAGATCTGTCATAAAGTCCAGCTGACAAGATAACATTAAAAAATCATATACATAATTAGATAGCAAGGACCAGCAAGACACGAAACTCGTAAATATTGGCTACGTTCTAAGCAGTCCTGTTCCAAGTGGAGAGAAATAATTTGTAAATGAGGCCAAAGAAGAGGCCATTAGTCAAGAATAAAGACGCGTCAGAGACTACCAGGTAGCAGGAAAGCCCAGCTATCTCATCCAATCTACTGATCAAAAGCAATGTGGTTGTGGTATCTATGGTCGAAAGCTGTTACAAAATAATTCATCAAATTCTAAATTCTCTAAAAATTGGGTGCCAATTTTAAATTAACTGCCTCACTCTACCACCGACACTGGCCTCAGCTCGCACTGCCAAGTCCATCAGCGAGACTGTACACATTTTAGCTGGACTTGACAGCGCCTACCTGTTATACCATAGAATATATACCACTTGATAATTACCATATGATATTTACCATATATTTACCATATGATATTTACCACATGATAAAAACCATATGATAAAAACCACATGATATATACCTTATAATAAATACCACATGATAAATACCATAAGATAAAAACCATATGATAAATACCATATGATAAATACCACATGATAAAAACCATAAGATAAAAATCATATGATATAAACCATATGATATATACCACTTTATACCACAACACCAGCCTGCGCTAGAGCCACCAGGGTAGCGACTGCTGCTGCAAGTGTTACACGCCCGGATAACGGTTATCATGAAGCCGTTATAAACACGCTGATGCTAACAGTTCAGCCAAATGAGATATAAATGAGTTATCCTGCACACGGATGTCACCACCATTGTTCAAGAAACTTGTGAATTGTGCAGGGAGGAATGAACTGATGTTTCTACCACTCGTTCGAGCGACTTCTGATGTCATCATAGCGACGACCACGGTCACCGTAACGTAACTGATGTTTCTACCACTCATTCGAGCGACTTCTGATGTCATCGTAGCGACGACCACGGTCACCGTAACGGGAGTTACGGTCATCGTAACGTGACCTGCGGTCATAACCGTCTTCGAAGTGACTCGTACGACGGTTGTTCCAGCCGCTGGATCGCATGCCGCTGCCGCGATATCGGGACCCGCCTGCCAACAACAACACGTTTACAACACAGCCACGTCAATTAAAACTTTAAACACAGCCTTTGTATTGAAAGAAAAATTTTATTAAAATACTGCTTCTCTATTGGAAGAACAACACGTTTTCACCGCAGCTTCTCACCTTGAAAAAGAGGATTTTTGACAAAGGCTTTCTACTTGAAGAGAGCCAATTCGAACGTCTCTCTACTTAAAAAGAACATTTTCGACACAGCGTCGATTGAGAACAATCTATATATACACTGATAATCTTCGCTCATAATTATCTTCTTCATGCAACAATAATATCTTTAATTACAAATATAAAAATAGAGTCACATATAAAGCATATAAGCATGAAAATCTCTTCAACCTTTTATTTATGGTAATGCAGGTCATCAAGGTAGGAATATCTTTGCAGATAACTGATGTTTAGTGAAAATTATATAACATAATAATTTAGGAATGTTAAGGAATGTTAACATGAACGGGTTAACATTCAACGTGAATGGGTTAACATTTAATGTGAACGGGTTAATATATCATAGGCCTAAGTTAAACCTAGTTTATGGCTTCTCTACTTTCTACCAAAAAAAATCAGCATTTGTCTAAACTCGCCAACTTGTCTAGCCATCCTTCCGACTNAATTCTGCATATGACAGAAACGTCTTCATTAAATTGAAATGAATATCAATGATTCTGAAGTTGAACGAGCATGATATGGAATCTGACAGGTCTGAAAAATACAAATGATTAGCGTAATGTTTTGATTATTATTCAATTCTGATGACATAGAACTCTAACAAACTATGGCTAAAACTAACGATTTCCACGAATCATTTTCGTTCACTAGGCTCTCATGCGATCGTGAGCATTGAGAAGCCATGACTTTCAAATTGACCAGAACTGGGTTGAATGTGCTGCCTCTAACCCCCACGAGAGCTTAAAATTTTCATTTTATTCATTTTACAACAACTTTTATTAACTGCATTCTTAGCTCTGAGATAGTAAACATCCATGGCATAGAGATACTAAGACGAGACTATTTATTTAGAACCAAACAACGGAGTAAATAAAGGTGCACTGCTTCTCACCGATGCCTCTAGCAGCAACATCGGTGGCCACCAACACGGACACGTGGCCGCGGCGGAAGCCTGCAAAACAGAACCAAATGTCAGTTCAGAGGACTTTGTATGATGATCATAGTTAATAAAATAAGATAATAACTAGACTCGTGGATGACGAAGAGGTGTTTTTGCATTCATCCGGAAAGCAAATTTAATTTGTTACTCAAGGGCAAAAAATAACTGGTGTTTATAAAATACGTGATATAATCTGAAACGAATACGAACAGCAAGGAAACCCGACACGAGTTGCCTTGATTCTTAAGATTAGTTCATTGTTTTACTTCATGATATTAACGCAGATAAAACCGTTGATGTAGATAAGCGTGACCTGAAAAAGAGCTACGGTCTAGCTGAAACTCTAACGCGTATCGGTCTTGCAGGATCTCTAACGCCTATCAAGTATGAATAGTGTCAAAACGTGGACATTGTAGAAAAAAACAATATTGCTACAAACATGAAAAAATTAAACAAAGTAAACAACAAGTGGATCTGAGTGCACACTCACCATTGAGGACCGAATCACGCATCTTCTGCGTCTTGTCGCCATGAATGGACCGCACCTTGAACCTGAAATATTACATATTCATATTCATAATAATACGGTGGATACTCCATAATTGAAGAAAAACCCCACCAACGGTTGCGCGTACGCCCATGAGGGCATTGGAGAACGTGTAACGTCCTAGGAAAAGAAAATAAGTACATTGGAGAAACAGGCGATAGAAAGGTTTTAGTTATGGTACGCCCTCAGCCAGCCTTGTACAGCTGACTGGAAAGCAGGTCGCGATGTAGCTGCCACGACGTCTGCACTCAGGGAGTTCCATATTCTGATGGCCGACGTGCTTGGTTACTGAATGAAAACATCTTTTACAAGTATTAATGCCACTACTGCTCATGTTGCACATTAATCAGAAACTAAAAA